ACCAAGCTCAGGACAAAGCAGCACTTGACGTCAGTCAAGCACCCGCAAACGAGCGGCCAGATAGAGGTCGTGAACAGAGTCATTCTGCAGGGCCTGAAACGCCGGCTCGGGGATGCCAAGAAGAGGTGGGTCGAGGAGCTCCACAATGTACTATGGGCTTATAGAACAATGCTCCACTCGACCACCGGGGATACCCCTTTTTGAATGACATACAGGACCGAGACGGTAATCCCGGTAGAAATAAGAGAGTCGTCTAGAAGAACTAAACCCCCCCTCGAGGAGGAGGCCAACGACGAGGCCCTCAGAGATGAGCTCGACCTAGTCGAGGAAATATGTTCAGGGGCGTATCTCCAAGAAGTCACGTTGAAACAGAAAATTTCCCTCCGCTATGATAGTAGGGTCATAAAACGTGAGCTCTAGATCGGTGATCTGGTCTTACGGAGAAACCAGAAAGAATCGCGCGAGGGCAATCTCACCGCTAACTTAGAAGGCCCCTATCGTGTCTGGGACAAGACAGTGCACGGGGCCTACTAACTCGAGAACTTACACGGGGACGAGATAGCTCGACCATGGAATGCTAAAAAGCTAAAAAAAACTACAGTCAAACACTGCCCGCGACGGCACCCCTCGCGACCACGGGAGCGCGACATGGTACCAACGCGTCTCCCCAAACCCAACGAGGTAACAAGCGCCTGCCCTTTGTGTGTGCGAGGAGAGCGCTCTGTTCGACGGGGACCCCTCAATCGAAAGTCACCGCCGCCGTACCGAGATAGGCAGAACACGCAGCTTGTGATAGGACGTTCACATCGCGGAGATAAGGTAACCACCCTGGTCGACCGACCAGTTCCCTACACTACCGGGCACAACAAATAACGTCGAGCTACCACTCCTAACAACATACAAAACATACGAACGAGCATACAAAACGTCCGAACAAGCATACGTAAGTAAACAAACGAGCACACACAAACACTTAGCAAAATGATGAATTTTCATAAACGGGCACAAACCCAGCTATCAAAAAACTACAAATAAGGGCACGCTTCCCGAGCAACAATCAAGATGAAAAAACCAGGCACGCAGACCGAAATAGTGTTTGCACGCAAGCCAATAAATCAAAAGGGTCGTGCATACCGTCATCTCCTAATCAACGTGGTCCTCCTCGTCTTGGGTGACTTGGTCCTCCTCCTCGTCCTCAGATCCGTCGAGAGCAACAACGCGGTCGCGTTGGATCTGATGATAGGGGTCAGTCCCTTTGATCACCAAATCCACGCCAAGTTTAACAAGCCGAAGCTGGTCCACGACATTCTTGAAGCCTACCTCGACGACCCCCAAACAGTCGTCTTCCAGTAGCCTGATCTTCTCCACCAGCTCCCGTCAGGAAGCCAGCAGCCTCTCCTCGTTGGACTCTTCCTCAACAGAAGCGACCAGACCCTCAAGCTCAGCAACCCGGCCCCTCATCCCGGCCAGCTCGTCTTCCCCGTCCTTCAGCATCTTCTCGAGCTCCCTGATCTGCTCGTGATGGAGCTTGTCCTGCTTCTGGTACTCCCTCTGGTCGGCGACTAGCTTGGACCGAGCTTCCTCGGATACCGCCAGCTCACCCCGATCGGTAGCTAAGTCCGCCGAGGAGCACCCTTCCTCGTTCAGCACGAGGGCCGTCTCGAACGCTCTCACCACCGAAGTCAGGTCATCGGACAACATTTTCTTCCGAGCCTCCTTGCTGGCAGCTAGGATACTCTTTGCCTCTTCAGGAGCTACAACAGGGACATTCTCCCCTGAAAAGAAATTCGGCCGAAGACAACAAAGGGGAAGAACAAAACGCCACTCCGCGGAGCCGTCCGTCATGTCGATCAGGGACGCTTCAATCTCTTGTCGCCTCTTCGTGGATGGCGGTCCAGCCGGGGAGGCACTACCTTGCAGAGACGAAGCCAACCCCGTCGGTCCAGCAACGACCTTCTTCCTGACAGCAGTGGCCCTCCCCAAGGGACGTCGGGCACCGCCCTTTAGCAGCTTCGTCACACGTTCTTCCATTGAACCCATAGCACCGGTAAGAAGAGCACAAGAAAAAATTTAGTACATGAAGCCAAAACAGAATCATTTATTAAAGAACCGAACCCTTAAACCGGTTTTTCAAAATTTAGGTTATTTTTAGTATTTTTTTTTAAAAAAAATTTCAGTTCGATTTTAGTTTCGGTATGATTCTAGAACTGTTTAGTGCAATATGGTTTGATTTTTTAACCAAATATAACAATTCAATTATTTTAACTTCAGTTTTATTCAATTTAACATTTCGATTCAGTACATAAGGGTGAAGTACTTTCTTAAATCCTACCAATAAATCAGACATGTGCAAGACATTGAAGGTAGGATCATACTTTTTAAATTTCAAAGAATCATTTAAATGACTTGAGAAAAACTAGTGGGATCAAAATAACCTATAGATCAAGTTACAAGATAGCTAGCAACTAGAAAGTTTCCTACTAATGGTTATTCAGCCTAGGCCCTAGTGCACATATTGCTTGCCATGTGCTATTAATATAGTATTTTTTGTTCTACCATATTATATAACTTTCATTCCTATTTTGTTCTTCTGCAAGACTCATGTTTAAAGATGTTGAATAAGTTCTGGTTTGGAATGGCCCCCCCACATGAACTTTTTACATAATCAACTCAAGTCATCATCATAGTAAAGTCTCTTACAACATTCTAGCTCATTATAATGACTTCCATCATCTCTATTATATCGTGTGCACTAAGCATTTATGTCGTGTTTGATTTTATTAGTGGAGGATAAAGATTTTACTGTACAATTATGTTTTTCAGCATTGCAATGTTTTCACATTAAAATGATGTTTTTGGACTTAATTTAAGCCTATCTTTTAAATAAATGTCATCTCTAATGTTTGAATCCTCAACTTTTGGATTGGTAAGAATCATGATTAAACTACCTCGAAAGTGATTTAATAAATTGGTCATTACTTCTAATAAAAATATTTGAAGTAATAAAAATAAAATAGTCACGAAAAGGAAAAACAGAGTAATAATAATTTGAGTTCACTTTGGATTATTAAAAACCTGCCATTAACCTAGTGGCTAACACACCGCCGGCAGAGAAAGGTAAATAAGGCCAACCTCCCCCACCTTAGGATCTTACCTTGGAAGGAAGAAGCTATAGCTTTTAGAAAATCATGAATTCAAAAGTACTACCATAGAATTTTTTATTTGGTTTACATGTCAGGTCCTCTAAAATAATGATTAGCAATAGGTGTAGAAAACTAGCTAATTTTAACTTAAATTAATCACTCTCTCCAAGTATGCAATATCAATTTTTGAGACAGCTTCCTAGTTACTTTTGGATAATGGGTTCTGAAAAAAACTTGAAAAAAATGGGTTAGTCAGACATAATTGAGAGTGCGAATTTAAAATTTTGATACATTTTACATTAAAATTGCAAAAATCTATAAAAAGTGGGTGAGATGGATATAGTTGAGGGACGGTGTGAATTTAATATTTTTGACCAATTCTGCCGTAAAAGTGAGGGTATGACGGAGAACTGTACATTTTAAGTTTAAAAATATAAAATTTATGTTAATATTTATGTCATCAAAAGTTTGTGAAAAAATGGGGTAGACAGAACAGATACCATAAAAGATGTAAATCTAAATCCTTGACTCTCATCACACTAAGGTAAAACATACATACACAATAGATTGAACCTGTTTTGTCACCCTACTTTTAGGTAGATTGTTAAACCGACTTTTCCGCTCTATTTAGACATGCGTCACAAAAGAACGGAGTAGGATGAACATGTTAAGAATGCAAAACTAAAATCTCAGTAGGCTTCGCGAGAAAATGAGAATGAGGCTGATATGCAGTCTTAGTCTTTGCAGCATAATGACTAAAAGTTATAAAAAATCTTGTTGACGTTGCGTCTACAAATGTTTAAAAAATGAAACGAAACAAAAATAGATATATTAGAGGGTACAAATTAAATATCTTAATGTCTCATACTTAAAAAAGGCAGATAAAACAAACATGTTTAACATGCCAAATCCTTTTGAGTATCTTCTTAGGATGTGTACTCTATTAGAAAATCCCCCCTCTTAAATAAGTAAGAGTGAGAATATAATATATCTAATTTTGAGAAATTTAATTTTTAATTTTTTTTAAAGTTAGAGTCAGTCCGATAATCTATTATATATTATTAACTCTTGTTTAAAAATCTATTTCACAATAAAGTTGATAAATAGTCTATTTTATTATTTTTAACTGGTTAAATAAACTTTAAAATAAATTTAAAAACCTATTTTACATTAAAACTAAACAAAACTTAAAGCTTATTCAATAGTTATAATTTAAAAGTTTAAACTTAACCTTTTTAATAAATCAGCTAGATTATATCAAATTTAAATAAGCCTCTCTATATCAACTTACCTATTTACACCTTTACTTTTAAGACATGGTTGGTTTTGAGGTAAAGTTAAGTTCAACATGTATATAGATGAGTGGAGATAAAAATATATAATTTTGCACATGTTTATATATATTATCTTATACACACCATGAGATTATTAGTGTGAGTGTTTTTTTTTGTTTTTTTTATTTTTTTATTTTAATAAATATGTAAAGCAATTGTGATTTTTCAGAAGTAGATTTTCCTTATAGTGTCATGCGTCCAACCTGTTGTCACAGTCTTTCATATTTCAGTCCTTTTCATAGCATTAGAGGATAGCACCTTACTATTTATCTTCACATTTGCAATTCAATCATATCCCAATATGCTAGACACAAGCCAAAGTTGACATTACCTCTCTTCATTTGTTATAAGACAAGTTTTAATTCAATAAATTTAAGAGCGTAGATTAATCACAGTTTAATAATAAATATATTTACATTACTACTTAATTTGATCTAAACTAAAAGAGCACCACAATAACAGTTTGAAAATTGAAAAAAGAAATAATTAACTAGCTAAACTTAATAATCTTGTAATAATTATTCTAATACAATAGACCAAAAGATGAATTTCCTTGAAACTCATCATGAACAAGATTTGCAGCAACTATGGAATCAAACATATTACTCCAATTCCCATCTTCTTCATCCTCTTCCTCTCCACCACCAATGTGACTCCACTGAACCGTAGTGTTCTTATCGGTATCATCGTTCCTCGCAAACCGTCCTCGGATTCGCGGCCTCCTGTCCGCCAATGTCTTCCTACAAACATACTGATTCACATAACAAAGTTAATCAGCACAATCATCAGTGTTGTCAATCATAGATAGATTGCAAAAAAAAATAACAGTTTGTTCAAATTCCGCTACGTTACAATGCTATAGCACTTTTACAGCATAGAAAATTTCATAAATGGGTCTACACAATTTATTTTTTCCTAGTACAGTTTCGTCCATTACTTGTTGTTCTTTTTATATTCTTGTAAATTCTCACTTTTTCATTTTTTCCATTGTAAAAAGGACAATTTACTGTCACATTTTGATCAAGTACATATTTTAGTGTAAGAAAATTTAAGTAAAATGAAACAGTAAATATAAGAAAATTGAACCTTAATTTTCTTGTTGAAGTTTCTTTGATTCCTCTTTCTTTTGTATCTTTCAATTCTGAGTTTCTTCTCTTCTGGGCTATATGGACAAACTCTGTTCATACCTTCTATGATCATACTACTTTCACTAGACAATGGACTATCCACATGATGATGATGATTATGTTGCATTCTCTTAATCCTCTGCAAATCATTACATGTAATTAAAACCAAAATCATTTTTGACTAGCAAGTAGCAACTAATTACTATACTCTTAAAATCTATTCGAATTAATTTATTTGAGTTTATCTGCTATAATAAAAATACTTTTTTTTCTTATGGGACGGAGGGAGTATAGTTTAAAGATAAAATATTTATATGATAAACACTTATACTATAAATTACTCTCGCAGAGTAGTGTAGTATACCTGGAGATCTCCCGTGCTGGAAACTTTTCGCACGGGAGTGTCTTCAGAGTTGAGCAATTCAGCGAAGAAAGCAGAGAGGGGAAGGCGGCGGGTCCCATTGTTGTGGTGAAGGGAATGGCTGCTAATGCTTCTCTGCATGAAGATGGGAGTGCTCGGTGAAGAAGATCCACCATAGCTGCTATAACCACTGCTCAATTCTGAGTTATTGAGTTGGGAGAGAGTGTCTTGGAACGAGTCAAACTCAGTGAAATCATTGATGGAGTTTTGTTGAAGAAAGGGTGTTGAGAATAATGGGATATTGATGGAATTAGAGTGAGCATTCATGGTGATATAATTAGTTAGGGTTACTAGAAAGTGTGTATGGTAACACTACAAGTAATGCAATGCCTAAGATTTAATATTTATATGATTTATGAGTGAGTGAATTATGTTTCATATGAGACATAATGTAAAGTCTTTGAAAGGACAATATAACATTATTGTAATGTATGGGTCTCAAGTTGTGTGTGACGTGGATGATGACGTCATCATTTGTTTTTGGTTGAAAGAGAAAAGAGGAAGTCGTTGACTTGTTTTTTCAACTCAAGTGAAAAGACTTCAAAGGATAAAAGTAAATCCTAATCAATACGACACATAACCACATTAGATACTATATATATATATTTTTTTTATATAATGTCTTTGTCAAACAGAACTAACTTACCACCATTTAAAATTTTGTTATCACCATTTTAATTTTAAAAAATTGTTATTATTAATTAATTTGTTATCGTTAAAAGTCTTACATCGAAGTATACATAGTTTGAAAATATGTTTATAAGTGGTGTTGATCCAAATTTTATATATCAATTTTGTAGGGATGAATTTGTTGGTGAACATCACATCACATGTTACTTGATAAATGATAATAAATTGAGAGAAAATTAGAGAGTGATATAGGAAAAAACAATTATTGATTATTGTGTATTTTGTATATGTTTCAATTACAATAAGGGTTGATACTTATAGACACACTAGCCACCCAAATCAAAATTAAAACAAACTATTTAAAATAAAACTGATAAACTCACCCATGGGTCTATGATATATATGTTGGGGAAAAACAAACAAAACATAGAGATAAAAGAGGAACACAATCACAACACAAGAACATAACGTGGAAACTCCAAAGCCGGAGAAAAAATCACGTCTGTTGTCAATAGACAACCAGAGAATAACACTATGTGAAAATTGTTACAACACATAATATACCATCAACTAACCCAGACCCTTAGTACACTCACACCCTCAAAAACAAATATTTAACTACATTTCACAACACTCTAATACAAGAGTATAAGAGAACAAAGAAAGTCAAATACAAGCTTAAAGTGTTTTTGACTGGTGCATCTTGGAATGAAGAACTTAAATCCTATATATAACTTTGGACTCCCACTTCCTTTACAAAACTAAGTGATGTGGAATTTCGAATAACTTGTATCTTTATATATAGCCTTGAACTTTCTCTTCATTCACAAAACAAAACGATTTGAGACTTCTTTAACATGTATATTTTCAACTAACCCCAACAATCTCTAACTTGATTTAAAATAATATATAAACTTTCATTGTCTTCACCAAAAATCATACTCCACCATAAAGAGTATTAACATATGTGGGGACACACACTTGTGGGGGAGAACGTTGGATGCAAGTGTGAGTGGTTTAAGTCCCATATTGCCTATGAATGAGTGGAATGTTGGATTATTAAGAGAGAGGAACCACCTACCTAACACCTTAAGGTTTTGGGTTGAGATGTGGTGTCTCCCTCTCTTGTGGTCCTAGAGCATTAGTCTCATTAGTGCTCCCGACTCTCTCGGACACCCCAACAGTGGTATCAAAGTCATGGTTCGACTTTGTGGGGGAGCGAAAGTTGAATCTGGTGTTGGATATGGGGACTCACACTTGTGGGGGAGAATATTGGGTGCAAGTGGGAGTGGTTTAAGTCCCACATTGCATATGAATGAGTGAAATGTTAGATTTATAAGAGAGATGACCCATTTACCTAACACCTTACACCTTAAGGTTTTGGGTTGAGATGTGGTGTCTCCCTCTCTTGTGGTCTTGGAGCATTAGTCTCATTGGTGCTTCCGACTCTCCCGGACTCCCCAACAATATATACCCCCTGGATATATTCTTAAATCATTCTAAATTAACCACAATTTTCTTCATAATTAAGATTTGTCATGCTTCTCATTCCCATTAACTTTTTCCTCTAAAGGTCTAATGAGGAATACAAACTTCACATCAAGTTTGTGCATCTTCCAACCTTTGTAAGATGATATGACCACAATCAGTCTGATTGTTTTAAGCCAAGCCACAGGTGCATAAACTTTATTAAAGTTCACTCCATATCTTTGAAGAAAACCTTTTGCAACCAACCTTGCTTTGTATTTGGAAATTTCACCACCTAGTTTGAACTTCCGTTTGTAAATCCACCTTACATCAATTGCTTTATTTAACAAGTCGAATTCTTTGAATTTTGAGACTCTCTTCCACCGAAAATATAAAATTTTCCTTTACTTTTCATGGATCATTTTTCTTTCGATCTCTTGTCTTTTCCTTTGAACTGAGCTTGCAAAACTATCTCTGCCTTTGCCTTATCATTATTTCTCTCCTCCATTCTTTGTTTATGAGCTTCAAGAGAGATTTGCATTTCCTCTTTGGTCATCGTCACAAGATTCTCCGATTCCTCAATCACCACAACCACATCGTCAAATCTTGGTGTTAAAGACCGCAAGATTTTAGTGATAACGTACTGCTCCATAACAACTTCTCTGCATGCCTTCACTTGGTTCACCAATTGAGTGACTCTTGTTGTGAAATCGTTGATTGTTTCATTTTTCCTTCTTTTGAATCAATTTGATATGACATTTGTGAGTTTGTAACCTAACCACATTCTCCTTGTTAGCCCCTACACAGTCCTTCTCTAAGATCTCCCACGCTTGCTTTGACAAATCGTAATCACTAACTTTATCAAAATTGTAGCCATGAACGCATTGATGGATCAAAAACAGCGCCTTGAAATTTTTCTTCTTTTCTTTCTTATGCGTTACTTGCCGCCCCGCTGTTGCATTACCTTGAAGAGGAGTAACACCATTCTTGATCACTTCAAGAACATATTGGTAGCCAAACAACACCTTCATTTAATGACACCATTTGTCGTAATTCTTCGCATCAAGAATAGGTAGAGTTGCAGGAATTTTTTTCATTGGAGACAAAATTCATGTTGCACATTAGGTGTTTGTGGATCGAACTAGACTCTTGATGCCAAATGTTGGAACAAGAAACCATAAGTTTGGTAAAACAATGGTGGAGAAACTCTAGATATGGAGTGTGTGTGTGTGTGTGTGTGTGTGTGTGTGTGTGTGTGTGTGTGTGAGAGAGAGAGAGAGAGAGAGAGAGAGAGAGAGAGAGAGAGAGTTTATGATTGCATTCACTAAGGATGAATATGCATCTTAAACACTTATATATGAGATACAATACAATTGAGAACTGAATTTACCAAGTAAAATAACAGAAAAAAACACAATATCGCGTTTGTAACCTGTTACACCAAAGTGGATAACTAATTACACCAAAATAGATAACCAGCTACACTTGACACTAAATTAAATTGAAATTAAAATTAGCTTCAGTGTTAACCGATTACACCAAAATGGTTAACTGGTTATACCTGCGAAAACTCTACATTTCTACTATTTGATTGAATCTCGGAATTTGTTGTAACCGGTTACCACATGTCTTGAAAAACTTCCGCAGTCTAAAATCCAATCACCGACATCAATGTTTATTTATATTCATGAATTAATATAAATAAATTATTTATTTTTTTTCAAAAAATTAACAATTCATAAAAGTTAATATCTATGAATTATTCATAAAAATTATTAATAATATACTTACCCATACTTACTTTAAATACTACTAAAATTTGAGGCTTTGTTATGTATCATCTAAAATGACTTTGAATTCTTTATAATCTTTTTATAGCATAGCACGTTGTATTCCTTTAATCTAAATACAATTGGTTTTAAATTTACAGAAATATTAAATGGAGACACACAATTAACAAAATATGAAAGATAGCCACATTCATACATGGGTCAAAATTGCTAGTGTGGTCTTTTTGGTGTGAAATATATTACCTCCCTACCCTAGTGTTGTAGAATCGTACCCAACTTTCATCGTACCCTACCACTTACTAACCCTGCATGTGGCAATATACCAGCTTTATTTGCAGATCGATCACTTGGCCCCTCGACAATTTGCTTCTTAATTATATCACTAGTTCAGAGAAAGCAAACCTAGTTATATTTGTTGTAAAGGACTCTATAGATTTCATTGTGGTCTTACAACATGGGGGATCATTATTTTCATCATAGTCCTCATTAGCATATACTCTTTCCGTCTCTCTATAATTTTTTTTTTGAGATTTTATTTATTCTTGGATATTACATCTTTTAAAATTTTTAAATATATTTATTACTGTTGTGAAAAAAGGATATCGAAATAATAAAGTATAATTGATTTTTGATTGGTAAAAAACCTACAAGAATAGGAAAAAGAGAGAAACAAGAAGAACATATTGAAACTGGTTATAAAATGTTATTCTTTACTTTCTATTTGAAACAAGATTACAAGTGTTACAGAATAGCAAATAACCTCTCTCACCCTAATTAGGATTCGCACCATACCCCAAAGATAGGAGACTAGCATGTTATTTATAAGAAAACTAACATATTAACCTAATGAGCTTTTACACATAGGCCCATTACACAAGCTAACTTAAACAATTTGGCTTACAATCAAGGTGCAGTTTGACATGCTAACACTCATAGCATACTTCGACTACAACATGTGAATAGACTTCGACGACATGCTAAGATTCTTTCAAATTGTCGAACCAAAAAGATGTCATTCGACCATACTAGAGTTCGATCCAATATCTCACAAATTTTCACCTTGGAACAAACTCTATAACATCAAGGGGAAAAACTAGCTTTTTTCATGCATCTTTATCAACTGCATACGGTGGGAGAACTCGCAACTTGGTAATGTCTTGATGATCATATCAAGATCATTGTGATCTGTTACAACCTTCAGTACTTGGACTTCTCCGCGCTCGATTACCCCTTTAACGAAATGCAGCCTCATATCGATGTGCTTAGTTCACTCATGATAGGATGAATTCCTCGACAAATGTATAACACTTTGACTATCACATTTAACAGTGATAACTCGACCTTGAAGTTTTAGCTCTATAGTAAAACCTTCAAGCCACA